CTTCCAGTCCCCAGCTCCCCATCTCTCCATGTCTGGCCTTCTCTGTGCTCTAAATAAAAACAAGGCCGAGCATTTAGGAAGCACCTAGCATGTGCCGAGCACACGGTCGGTCACGTTCTGTATGATGTTATCATTGAGTCTCAGCAGCCTGGCAGGGTCAGTATCGTTCCCATTTTACAGATGGTTCTGAAGCTCGAAAGTGCTGAGCAGGTAGGTCCCCAGGGTCATGTGGCTCACGAAAGTGGCAGAGCTGGCCAGCCCGATGAGCTTCGGTGCCACTCGAGCACCCTCAGGAGATTATAGTCTCAGACTTTTTTTTTTTAAGATTTTTTTTATTTCTTCGAGAGAGAGAGAGAGAGAACGCTTGTGAATGAGAGTGTGAGAGAGAGCAAGAGAGAGAGCATGAGCAGGGGGGAGGGGCAGAGGCAGAGGGAGAAGCAGAGTCCCCGCTGAGCAGGGAGCCTGACGTGGGGCTCGATCCCAGGACCCCGGGACCATGACCTGAGCCGAAGGCAGATGCTTCACCGACTGAGCAACCCAGGCGCCCCAGTGTCAGACTTTGGAATAACGGAGGTCTCTCTCTCTGTTAAAGTACTGCGTGCTCCCACCCCAGCACCCCGGTGTGCCCAGCAAACCACTGATGACCAGTGCGGTCGGTGGACGGCACCCACTCAGAGCAGGGGCAGGAGACGCTGATGGTGTGTGCTGGTGGGGAAACTGTTCCATCCAGAGACAAGAATGGCTTCTTAGAGCCCCTTCCTGCTTTCCTCTCATGCCTTCCTCTCGAGCATCTGACCCCAGATCTATTTCAGAACCTCCTATCTCTGCTCCGCAGAAGCAGTGATGTGACATGATGGGACCTCATTTGGGGGCTAAATAAAACCATTGTATGAGAGCCAGCCCTGGCCACTGCCCTGCACCATGTCCTGAGCTCAGGAGGCCGAGGGAGACGGGAGGCGCCTGGCGGGAGCTGGTGGAGCAGAGGGGTGAATGCCCCACGGGGCCAGCTTGCGGTTCCAAGAGTGGAGGAGGAGTATCTCTGGGAGGGGTTGAGCTCGCCTCGCTACACCTCATCTCTTCGAAGGACAGAATAGAAATTATTAGCATTGTGGCGTGGAGGGGTGGAGTTGAGAGAACAGGACAAATGGAGAGAAACGGAAGAAGATAGGAGGGAGAAGGAGCCCCACTGGTTCCATTTGCACAGAGGGCGGAGGCCAGGAATGAACGAGCAGGTGCTAGGAAAAGGTGGGTCTCCCAGAAGAGGCCAGATTCCATTTGGCCTGACCTGGAGGAAGACGGGCGGGATTTCAGGACCAGAACTCTCTGTCCACCAGGCCAGGAAGCAAGCACCCGCTCCAGCAGGTGGCATCCCCCAGGGTGGAGGGGAGGAAAGGCTTCCCACCAAATCCAGCCCCACAGACCCCGCTGGGGCAGGAAAAGCAGATGGAAGCTGGGGCTGGTAACTCCAGCCCGTCTGCCCCTTTTGTGAGGTCTCTGTCCCGTTTCCAACCTCTGCTTCTCTGTCCCCAGTGAGCACCCTGGGTCCTCCTCTCGCCTCCACCCCAGCCTCTCACAATACTTTCTGGGCATGTCCCCCTCCTGCCCCCGAATATCAGCTCTGGAGACCACTGGATGGCAGGCTGAGGCTCTGGCCCTCGGAGGGCATCCCACTCGCTGTGGAGCTGCACATCCCATTTCTAGCCAGCACATCAGATGCACCAGGCCACGTTTGTGGACACAGAGAGAGCAGACCTGTCCTGGCGGCTGGCCCCCTACATGGCTCCCGGGCGTGAGGAGCATGGTCCAGCTGCCCAGGCCTCTCCCTGTCTGTCCCCAGAGCCATTGGTGGGGCCGCAGGTACATCTGCACGGGCCAGAGCGCTCACCCCCTTCCTTGCTTTGGGTGGCTGGGGTCGGCACAGGCGCCTCTCTGCGGTGCTGGCTGGGGTGAGGCCTGAGGACAGGTTGTGGTGACAGTCAGAAGAATAGCTTGAAGGAACAACTTTCCAACCATCGGACTTCTGGTGTGGATGCAGGGGAGTAAGATGACCTGGGGGAGGCTCGGCGCCCTCACAGGGAGCCTGGGGCGGGGGGGGGACTCTGGCTCACCGCTTCCTGGTCCTCCCAGGCCCTCCCAACAGCTCTGTAGCTGGGGGAGCCCTGGGAGACTCCTTCCAGCAGGAGGCCTACAGGGACAGGGCCTAGGAGCGAGCAGGGCAGAGGCCCGCAGGAAAGGAGCCGTCCCGCCCGCCCCTCCACCACCTCGGTGCTCGGTATTTGGTACTTCATTCTGAAGTGGGGCTTCTCATTTTCAACTTGAAGAGCTCCTGAGGGTTCTTAACTCCGAGACACACTGAGGAAGGCCCGAGGGCTGCCGGGAGCGCTGGGCAGCGAGAACAGTGCCCGCGCGGGGGAGAGAAGAGATTTCAATGTGGCGAAGGGTGGTGCCCTTCTCTCTGCTTCTGGAGGGAGGGCTTCCGGCTCTGTTCCTTCCCCTATGACCGGCCTTGCAAGGGAGAAACCAGAATACTCTCTCGTGAACTTTCCTCCCTGCTGCTCCGTCTGCCTAGCCCCTCCCTCCCCAGCTTGGCCAGATGCTAACCACTCAGCCCTCTGGACCCCTCAAGGGCCGCTCGCTTCCTCCGGGAGCCATTTACTGAGTTTTCCAACTGGCTGCGCGCTCGGTCCTTCGACAGCACGCAGCCTTCTGTGCATCTTCCCTGTGGCCCTGGGCACTCCGGCCGCGTAGTCATTTGTGATTTGGGCTTTTGTCTCCGCACGCACACACGCACAGACACGCACGCACACGCACACAGACACGCACGCACACACACAGACACGCACCCGCGCACACAGACACGCACACGCAGACACGCACGCACACACGCACACACACAGACGCGCACGCACACGCACACAGACACGCACGCACACTCACAGACACACACACGCACACGCACAGACACGCACGCACACGCAGACACGCACGCACAGACACGCACACGCACAGACACGCATGCACACACAGACACGCACGCACACACACAGACACGCGCACACAGACACACGCACACAGACACGCACAGACACGCACCCGCACACACACAGACACGCACCCACACGCACAGACACGCACAGACACGCACACGCACAGACATGCACTCACACACACAGACGCACACGCACACACGAGTGCACACATGCACACAGACTGTGAATTCCTTGAGGACAGGAACGGTATCTGTCTCTCTCTGCTTGGCTGGGTTGTCTGCTGAACCGGTGCTCAGGACGTGGAAGAATCACGGGTGAATGAGGATGTCCTCATGCCCTGGAAAGAGCACTGCCCCGGGAGTCAGCAAAGCTGGTTGCTCCTCTGGGCTCTGGGGCAGCCATGCTCCTGTTCCGCACCTCAGGGAAGGGAGGCTGCCTGTGACACGGCCCAGTTCCAGGGTTCTAGAACGCCTCTCACCCCCTCTGTCTTCTTGACTCAGACTGGCCTGCGTGTGCCTCCCATGAACGGAGACGTCCCGGAGGTGTTCCTCGCAGGTGGAGACCTGGTGCCCCAAGGCCACACTCCCCGCTGCCTGTCTGTGGTCGAGTCCAGAGAGCAGCTGGAGGAAGACGAGGAGGAGGAGGCGGAGGGGAAAACGGAGAAGGGAGATGGCTTCCATGCTGTACCCCTCCGAAGGTCAGGGGCTTTCCGTGCCCATGGCCACAACCACAACCCGTTCAAAAGACATAGCTGGGGGCCAGGCAGGGAGCTCCAGGACCCACTGAGCAGGTAACCCCTAGGGGACCCCCTGCCCCTCCTTCCCTCAAGTCCCAGACCCAGGAGACAGTGGTTGGGCAGGGATGCCAGGAGTGGAGGACACCTGGGCCCTGGGCCCTCCCTGGGGAGTCTGAACCCCGCCTCTCTCGGGCCTTTGGGGAGGATGACCCTGCTTTTCAAAGTGTGGCTCCCCTCAGCGTCCCTCCAGTCTCTGGGGCAGGTGGGGGAGGCCGTGGAGGGGAAGGTACGGAGTGGGGCCATATTGCCTCTACCTCCCACTCTGGGTTTCATTGACCCATAAAGGGTGTCAGAGCTGGAAGGGACTCAGGGATCATGGCGCCCAAACTCCTCACTTTACAGCCGAGGAAAGTGAGCCCAGAGAACTTCGGGAGGTTCCTTGAGACGTGTCCCTGGGGCATTGCTGGTTGGATGCCCCAGGCTGACGCAGATACAGGATGTTTTAGGCATCACAGTACAGCCCTGCGGGGGCGGGGGACGAGGTCTGTGTGAGTCTGCTTGGCAGAAGACAGGGACCAGCTGTCCCCCTCGCCTGGAAAACCCCTGACCACATCCCCAAAGACAGAGGAAGTCAGAAACGGAAGGTCTGGGGGTCAACGTGGAACGCTCAGTGTGAGTGGTCATTGACTCTCTGCTCTGGCCGTGGTCCCCACGGGCAGGTTCCCTTACCTCAGGTGAGCAGCTCCTGGGCACAGCTGGCTGAGCTGGTGGGGGAAAGGCGAGGACCCTGTGCCGGGCCTCTGAACCGTCTTTGCGGGCAGCTCGGCTGGGAAGCCTTGCCCACAGGGCTCATGGAACCTTCCCGAGAGCAGCCAGTCGACGGCAGAGACGTCCTGGCTGCCCCTCATGTGGGGCCAGCTGTATCTCAGGGTCATCCAGGGGTCCCCTTTCACCATCAGGCACTAATTCTGCCCCTGGGGAGTCCTGGGCTGAAGAGGGGCAAAGCTTGGCATCACACACCAGGCAAGGAGTGAGCCTCTGGCTTGCCCGTGGCCTCTTGCGAGCACCGGCGTCCTTCCGGAGGACAGTACTGTCCCACGGCCAGCAGGGGCCACCCTTGCCTGCAGCTTTGCCAAAGCACAGCCCCAAGGCGGGCGGTTTGGGTCGGGGCTGCTTCTGTGCCGACAGGAAGGGCTGGGCTGGGCGGGGTTCCTCCCTGGTGGCCCTCGCGAGCCAGGAGGTACTGAGGGCAGTGGTGGCCATGTGTGTTTCAGGAGCAAACTGCAGGCAGTGGGATGCACGGGCGCCCGGGAGGCCCCCTTGTTGCAGAGCCAAGAGGAACTGGACGCCTTTCTGGAACTGCAGCGCCTAGGTGGCCAGCCCTCCCGCGTGGTATGGACAAGAGTGCCCGGGGAGGCCAGCGCCTTCTCCCCTCTCCTGCCCCCTTGCCTGTCCAGCCACCGCTCTCTGCTTCTTCTGTCCTGCCGACTGCTGGTCTGTCTGCGCGCGGGCTTCGCTCCGACTCTGTCTGACTGAGGCTGTGGCTGCTGTGTGAACCCCTCTGTCCGCCTCCCCGGGTCTGCGTGCCCTGTCCCCCACTCCTGGGGTCCTGCCCCTGCCTCTTTCTGTATGACTCTCTGTCCCCACCTTTCTGTGTCTGAGCTCTGCGCTGATGTGGGCATCTCTGTTCCCCTCATGAAAAGGCCCCTGTTCCCCTGATTGTGATAACCACTTCTTTCTGTGGACCCCCATTTCTCAGCTTTGGAGCCAAACTTATAATGTGTGGGATGAAACTAGGCATCTGGTGCCCTGAAAAACAGTAGATCTCTAACAAGGGAATCACAGAATTATCGAATGAGAAAGGGTGTAGAGTCGGTCCAGCCTTCTGGCTTAAGGGAACATATCTGGGGATCTGAAGCCAGGACCTAGGGACCCCTGAGGACACACAAGGCTTTTAGAGGCACCCCTGTGCCGGCCAGCTCAGCCGGGCAACTCAGGCTGCTTCCCCTCCAGCTCCTCTCTAGCTGGCCAGGGGCCCCAACGCCGGCCTCCTCGGTCCAGCCCGTGGCTTGGGGGAGAGGGTGAGGGTAACGGGATGCTGCAGGCAGTGGCTGGACCCATCTTCTCCCACCAGCGCTCCCTCCTGCCAGCATCTCTGCAGCCCCCGTGCCCCAGTCCCAGGTGGTGCTGCAGAAAGAACAGGGTGGGGTGTCAGACCAACTCCCAGATCCTTCACTTACCAGCTGAAGAATCTATTTCATCTCTCCGAAAATCAGGGTAATAAAAACTATCTTTTAAAGTTGTGATTATTTCGAAAAGAAAGAAAAAAAAAGTTCAAGTGCCCAGTACAGAGGCTGGCCTGCAGGCTGAGCGCGAGGACTTGTGGACTACCCCCCCCCGCCCCCCTCTCGCTGCTCCCGCTCCTTGCTCGGGGGTGCTGTCTCCTTTCCTGCCTTCCTGCTCTGCTTCCCCTCCTCTCTTCTTCTAATCTCTAAGCACTCCCTGAAACTTCTCCCTGTCTACATGTTCCTCCAGAGCGGGTGCACACAAATGCACCGAGGTCCACAGACCAAGCTTGAGGCTCATGAAGTGGGCCCTCAGCCTGCAGCCCGAGGGCCTGGGAGCCAAGGGCAGCTCCAGAATGTATTCTGCATGGCCAGCCCAGGGCTGACACTCTAAGACTCAGATGTCTCTGGGGCAGCTGGTCCGCTTAGTCGGTAGAGCACGTGACTCTTAATCTCCGGGTTGTGAGTTCCAGCCCCACATTGGGTGTAGAGATTATTTAAAAAAAAAAAAAGATTCAGATGTCTTTTTTTCCTTCTTCTTAAATAGCCGCCACACCCAACGTGGGGCTGGAACTCACGACCCTGAGATCAAGAGTCCCACACTCCACGGAGCCGGCCAGGCGCCCCTCCCCCTCATCTTCTAAGTATGATGTTTGAAAGCGAATGCCCAATAAATCAGTCACCCATCTCAAACCCTAGTACACCACCAAAGCCTGGGAGGTCTTTGCCTTGCCTTTTTCTCCTCTGCTGCTCCCTCGCCTGCCCCACCCCCAGAGATAATCACTATCTTGAATTTTCTTTATCACCCATCTACATTTTTTATAGTTTTAACAAATATATATGCATTACCTAATACTATATTATTTTTTGTTGCTGAATTTAAAAACCAATGATTACATTGTACAAAATTGTCTATAACCTGCCTTTTCATTCAACATTGTGTCTAATTTTTATCTATGTGCTGCAGATAGTTAGAGTTTATTCGTTTTCATCCTACTCTACCCTTGAACGTTAGATAATGTCCACTCTGCTGTCATGAACAGTGTCACTTCGAACGTCCTCTATTTGTCTTGTGGTGCACACTTGTAAGAGTTTCCCAAGAGCACCTACCTTGGAGAGGAGCTGTTGGGTGACAGAGTGTGCACCTCAAGTTTACAAAATCATGGCATGTTTCCAGCCCCATCAGAATTATATCAGAACTATATTAGAGTTCCTGTTGATCCAAATCTTTTCCAACATCTGGAGCCATCAGACTTCTTCATGTTGCCTATCTAGCAGTTATAAATCTCATTACAGTATGAATTTGAATGATCCGTATTACACATGCAATCGAGCATCTTCTCCTATGTACATAGGCCATTTGTGTATCCTCTTCTGGGAATTTCCTCTTCACGTCTTTTGCCCATGTCTATCCTTTGTTGTTATATATGTTGCAATTATCTTTTCACCAAATGGAGAAAAGTGGTTCGTCTTTTCCTTCTCCTATGGTGACTTTACATAAACAGAATTTCCTAACTTTTATTTATTTATTTTTGAAGATTTTTTTTAAAGACCTTATTTATTTGACAGAGAGAGATACAGAAAGAGAGGGACCATAAGCAGGGGGAGAGGGACCATAAGCAGGGGGAGAGGGAGAGGGAGAAGCAGGCTTCCCGCCGAGCAGGGAGCCCGATGTGGGGCTCGATCCCAGGACCCTGGGACCATGACCTGAGCCGAAGGCAGATTCCCAACGACTGAGCCACCCACGCGTTACAAAGATTTTGTTTTTAAGTAATCTCTACACCCCATGTGGGGCTCGAAGTCACAACCCCTAGATCAAGAGTCACATGCTCCACCAACTGGGCCAGCCAAGCACCCCTGAATTTCTTAATTTTTAAAAAATAAACATTTATTGAAGTATAAGACGTATGGGGCGCCTGGGTGGCTCAGTCGTTAAGCGTCCGCTTTCGGCTCAGGTCATGGTCCCGGGGTCCTGGGATCGAACCCCGCATCGGGCTCCCCGCTTGGTGGGAAGCCTGCTTCTCCCTCTCCCACTCCCCCTGCTTGTGCCCCCACCCCCTGACAAATAAGTAAAATCTTAAAAAAAAAAAAAAAAAGATGGTTGCCCATCCCCAAGCAAAACACCACTCAACAAGAACTGGATTCTCTACTCCACTTAGGTCAAATAATGGGATAATCTGAACCAAAAAGGAAAGCAGGAGGGACCATAAAAAAACCAGAATGGTTTGTGGGCCTTTCTGTAGATGGGAAAATTTTCAGACCAAGAAAGCAATTCCCAATATTGACTCAAATATTAATTATAGAGGAGTTTAGAAGATCTTCGTTTATTCTACATATACATCCCCAGACTTCTTAGAGGAAAAAAAAAAGACTAGACATTTTATATTTCATTGCTTTTTATATTTTTATATTGCAACTTTATTAAGATCCCTTTTGGAAGGGCTTTTTTATTTTTTGGAAGGATCTTTTAAAAAGAGGAATTGGTGGGCGCCTGGGTGGCTCAGTTGGTTAAGCGACTGCCTTCGGCTCAGGTCATGATCCGGGAGTCCCAGGATCGAGTCCCGCATCGGGCTCCCTGCTCGGCGGGGAGTCTGCTTCTCCCTCTGACCATCCTCCCTCTCATGCTCTCTGTCTCTCATTCTCTCTCTCTCAAATAAATAAATTAAAATAAAAAAATAAAAAAATAAAAAGAGGAATTGGTAAAGCAAACAATTCCAGTTAATTTAAAAATACTGTGGCTATGGCTTTGAAAATTAAATAAATATCTCTTAAAACACTTTTTAGGGATGCCTGGGTAGCTCAGTCATTAAGCGTCTGCCTTCGGCTCAGGTCATGGTCCCAGGGTCCTGGGATTGAGCCCCGCATCGGGCTCCCTGCTCGGCGGGAAGCCTGCTTCTCCCTCTCCCACTCCCCCTGCTTGTGTTCCCTCTCTCTCTGTGTCTCTCTCTGTCAAATAAATAAAATCTTAAAAAAAAAAAAAGCATAACACATATGTAAAATATGCACTAAAACATGCTTGAGATTTTAATTGGAGTTGCAATGAATCTAGAGAGTAATTTAGGGAAAGTTGACATCTGTACAATGTTGCTTCTTCCTACCCATGAAGATAGTATACCTCTCTTTTTTTTTTTTAAGATTTTATTTATTTATTTGACAGAGAGACACAGTGAGAGCGGGAACACAAGCAGGGGGAGTGGGAGAGGGAGAAGCAGGCATCCCGCTGAGCAGGGAGCCCGAAGTGGGGCTCTATCCCAGGACTCTGGGACCATGACCTGAGCTGAAGGCAGACGCCCAATGACTGAGCCACCCAGGCACCCCAGATAGTATACCTAATATCATTTTTTTCTGTACAGGTCTTGTGGATATAGATTTATTGTTAGGTATATATTTTTAAAAGATTTTATTCTTAGGTATATTATACTTCTTTTGTCAAGTTTTAAATTTTAGTCATCCTGGTGGATATCCTAGAAGGTATCTCATTTTGGTTTTAATTTGTATGTCCCTGTTGAAAAAAATCTGTTGGACAATTTTCTTTTTTCCTTTTTCTTTTTTTTTTGAGAGAGAGAGAGCACGGTGGGGAATGGGTAGAGAGCTAGGGAGAAAGAGAGAATCCCAGGCAGGCTACAGTCCCAGCACTGAATCTGATGTGGGGATTGACCCTGAGATCACAACCTGAGCTGAAACCAAGAGTCAGATGCTTAACAGACTGAGCTACCCAGGCACCCCATTTATTCATATTTTTATTGGCCATGTACATATCTTCCTTCATGAAATGTCTGTTCAAGCCTTTGTCCACTTTTTTTAAGATTTTATTTTTATTTTTTAAAAGATTTTATTTATTTGACAGAGAGAGCAAGCACAAGCAGTGGGAGGGGCAGGCAGAGGGAGAAGCAGGCTCCTCGCTGAGCAAGGAGCCCGATGTGGGACTGGATCCCAGGACCCTGGGATCATGACCTGAGCCGAAGGCAGACACTTAACCGACTGAGCCACCCAGGCACCCTGTATAGTGGTCTTATACACACTTAACTTGCTAAACTCTCTTTCCTGTTTTTGTTATAACAATTTTTAAAAAAAAGATTTTATTTATTTGAGACAGAGAGAGCATAAGCATGAGCAGGGGAGAGGAGGAAGAGGGAGAGGGAGGAGCAGACTTCTGCAGGGAACCATCCCAGGACCCAGAGATCACGACCTGAGCCAAAGGCAGACCCTCAACGACTGAGCCACCCAGGCACCCCTTGTTATAACAATTTATCTGTGATTTTTTTCTTTTCTAATAGACAATTGTGTCATCTGTAAATGAGCTTAGTTTCTTTTGTTCCAAATTTTATTCCTTTCCTTTCTTTTTCTTGCCCTCTATGCTGGCTAGGATCCTAACACAGTGCTGAGCAGCAATGTGATGACGGGTATTCTTGTCTTTTCTTTCTTTTTTTTAAATGAAAAAGCACCAGTGCAGTTTATTTTAATGCTTCTATTCACGAGAATGGTATCCTTGTCTCTGATTTTAGAGGGAGTACATCTTATTGAAATTGATTTTTGGCTGTAAGTGTTTAAAGGGCACATTTTATCAGGTTAAGGAAGATTTCTTCTATTCCTAACTGCCAAGGCTTTGGTTTTACAATAAGTGGGTATTGAATTTTATTCTGTGCTTTTTTACTTTTACGGAGGTGGTTATGTTTCTCCTTTAATATGTTACTGAGGGAAATTAAATGTAAAGATTTTTCTCCTGTTAAGCCAGCCTGGTATTCATAGGATGAATCCAACTTTGTCATGACAGATTATGTGTTTCATACACTGCATAACAAATCAACCCCAGACTTGGTGGCTTAAAACAACGTGTTTTCCTTCTCACTATTCTGTGGGTAGGTAATTTGGATTGAGCTCAGTGGAATGTCCTGCCGATTCCACCTGGACTCACATGGCGGCAGGTGTCTGGTGGCTTGAGTAGGGCGGGCGGCCAAGGCTGGCCATATTCACACCTGTCGATTGTCCGGCTGAAAGCTGTGATGCCTTTGTTCTCATCCACATGGCCTCTCTAGAGGCTGGCTTAGGCTTGTTCATGTGGAAATAGCAGTCCAAGTGGACAAGAGTGCAAGCTTTAGGGCTTCTTCTTCTTTTTTATTTTATTTTATTTTATTTATTTATTTGAGAGAGAGAGCGAGAGGGCATGAGCCTGGGCGGGAGGGACAGAGGGAGAGGGACAAGCAGACTCCCTGCCGAGCAGGGAACCAGATGTGACACTTGACCCCAGGACCCTGAGATCATGACCTGACCTGAAGGCAGACGCTTAACTGACTGAGCCACCAAGGTGCCCCAGCTTTAAAGTTTCTCGAGGCTCATGCTCAAAAGTAATATAATGCCACTTCCACCACTTTCTATTCGTCTGGTGGAGTCACAGGCCAGCCCAGACTCAAGGAGTGGATAGAGGCCTCCTTGGGGGGGCAACAGCAAACAATTTGTAGACATTGAAAATCTACTTCAGTTTGCTAATATTTTGTTTGGGATTTTTGTACTTATGTTGATAAGAGAGATTGGCCCCAAATCTTCCTTTGTCACACTGACAGTATGCAGTTTAAGAATCAAGGTCATACATTATAGAAAGAGTTGGAGAGTTTTCATTTCTATTCTTTGGAAGAGTTTGCATAAGATATCAGTGCTCTATTCCGTGAGAGATCTGTGCCTTGCCTATAAAATGTTTTTGGCCTGGTGTGTTTTGTTTTGTTTATAGAAATATTAACTACCAATTCCATTTCTTCAGTAGGACCATTCAGACTTTCTATTTCTTCTAGATTCAGTTTTGTCAAGTTATATAGATATACACACACATTTTTGTAAGGAATTTTGTTTGCATTTTCAAAATTGCTATCATCAGGATGCCTGGGTGGCTCAGTTGGTAAGTGTCTGCCTTTGGCTCAGGTCATGATCCCAGAGTCCCAGGATCAAGTCCTGCATTGCTCAGTGGGGAATCTGCTTCTCCCTCTGACCCTCCCCCCTCTTGTGCTTTCTCTTTCTCACTCTTTCTCTCTCAAATAAATAAATAAAATCTTTAAAAAAAAATTGCTATCATCAAGTTGTGGTCAGTCTTCTCCTGCCTTTCCAATCACTGGGTCTGCCCCACGTTCTTCCTCAATTTTTGCCTTCCTTCTGCCTGCCATCTTACTGGAGGTTTGTCTACAACTTTTGGCTTTATTGATCCTGTTTTATGTTTACTACTTCATTGATTTGTGCCTTTTTAATTTTTAAAAAATTTTTAAAGTAACCTCTCTGCCCAACATGGGGCTCAAACTTACCACCCCAAGATCATGAGTCACATCCTCTATCAAATGAGTCAGCCAGGTGCCCTGATTTCTGCTTTTATCCTTATTATATCCTTCCTTCTGTTTCATTTGAGCTTGTTCTGTCTTTTTCTAACCTTTTAAAATTGGCATAGTTCATTAATTTTCAGCTTTTTAAAATTTTTCAATATAAGCGTCTTAAGGCTATAAATTACCCCTAAAAAACCACTTTGGTCATCTCCCACAAGTTTTGTTCTGTAATTCTATAGTATTTTCATTGTTGTTGTTATAAAATATCTTTTTTTTAAGATTTTATTTTTAAGTACTCCCTACATGCAATGTGGGGCTCTGAGATCATGACCTGAGCCGAAGGCAGACACTTAACTGACTGAGCCATCCACGTGTCCCTAGTTTTGCTTATTTTAAACTTTATATGAATGTAATCATACAGGACATACATTTTTTGTGTCTTGATTCTTTCCCTCACTATTATGTTTGTGAGATTCATCCATATTGTCAGATGAGCTGTGGCATGTTCATTCTCATTGTTGACCAGTATTTTGATGTGTAGATATATCACAGGTTCCTTATCCAGTCCACTGGAAAGGGATTTCTGGTTCGTTTCCTGTGATCTCTATGATATAGATGATTTGAAATGTGTTAAAATTTGCCTTATGACCTGATATGTGACCAGTTTTTGTAATGCTTCATGTAGGCTTGAGAAAAATATTAATTTCCTGATGGTTGGGTGTGTGGTTCATGAATATTCCTGCTCCTTTTGTCTTAACCCCAGGCTGTCTCAGTCATGTCCTTTTGTTTTTATGACCTGCTTGGCCTCTATAGTTTGAGTTTGTCATGTCTGGAAACCCTTTGGAGTACATTTTTTTCTAAGAGACTTTCTCCATAGGGCTTGAACTGTGGCAGAGAGCAGAATGCTCACTAGCAGGAATGACTTGCCAATGATTTCAGGTGGAATGTCGCAGATGTGGGCAGTGCAGAGGGTGGGAGTCCTGAGGGCTTGAAGGTAGACCCTCTACGGGAAAGTGGGAGCACGGGGAGTGGGAGAGGGATAAAGCCTGACTTCGTGTGAGGACTCTTGACATGATTCTAGGGTCAGAGTTGCTGTCATCCGTCTGCTGGCCCTTTGGACCACTCGGCCCCTGGCATGCTTTCCAAGTCTGTATCCATGAGCGGCATCAGTTGCCTCTTGGGCTGCTCTGATCCAGCTGGTGAGTGGGGGTGGGGAGTAAGGCAGTGGGGGCCCCTTGCTCTGTCTGTCTCGCCACCAGCCCTCAGAGCCATCTGTTCAGAGCCCCGATGTCCTGGGTTCTTTTTAACCACACACCCTTGGAAACAGCAAAATGCCTTTATTCAAATGAGAGACCTGAATTCAGGACTTTAGCATTCTGAGACCCTCCTTCCAATGAAGGAGGACACAGGACAGACTGTGGCTCCCCAGCACCCCCTATCCCCAGAGATGGAGGACAGTTACCTGTAACGCACCTTGTCCTCAAGATGAGGAACTGGGAGCTGGGGTGAAACCTCTGCTCTCTCCGTTCAGCAGAGACAGAACTGAGACGTCAGGCCCCCAGGCCCCTGCTCTGCAGAGCCCTCCTGCTCTGTTCCCTGGCCCCTGAGCTCTTCAGCTCTGCTCCACTCAGACCCCACCTCCCTCCCTTCTCTGCAGCACCAGCCCTCAGGAAAGGCTGCCCAAGCACCTGCAGCTTGGGAACCTGATCTCTAGGAGGGGGTGGGGGAGGCAGCCCTGGACGCTTCTCTTCTCGTCTCCTTTTGTGTCAGCAGGGAATTTCTACCAGTCCTCTGCCACTGACCTCAGCCAAAGGTGAGTTTGGGAGACCCGCAGCCCTTCAAAGGCCTAACTGGAAGAGGCGCAATGGGACTGGACCATGGATTTTGTAACTCCAAGGGTCTCTGCTTCCTGAAACGTTGCTCCCCTTAACATTTTTTTAAAATACTCTTTATTTATTTAGAGCAGGTGCACATGAGCGGTGGGAAGGGGCGGAGGGAGAGGGAGGGAAAGAATCTCAAGTAGACTCTGTGCTGAGTGGGGAGCCCAATGCCGGGCTTGATCCTGCAACCCTGAGATCATGACCTGAGCCAAAATCAAGAGTGGGACACTTAACCACTGAGCCACCCAGGCGCCCCTCCCCTTAACATTTCTGATCAAAGGCTTCCAAATTTCCTTCTCCCTGAGCTTCACAAGAATTCACCCTCTTATTCATTGGCCAGGGAAGGGTTAGAAAGTTCCCAGTAGCCCCCCTGGCTAGTAAAGCAGTTGGGGAAAGAAACGTTGTATCCAGACTCCAGGCTGCCGATGAATAGGACAGTGGCACTTGTTTGCTGTTGTCACTGACAGGTGAGTGGGCAGAGCGGCGGTCGGACGGTCTTAGGGGGAGACGGTGGCCCAGGACCCCATGGACAGCTTTGGAGGTTCAGATAACTGACCAATGGGGAGTGGCTCTGGTGGGGCGGGGTGGGGAGGGCAGGGGCTGCAGGCCCAGCTCAGGAATTGCCTGGAGTCTGGGAGATTTCTGTAGCCAGGAAAATAAGCGCACAAAATCAGCACCTGTTTATTTGGCTTCTGCAGCTGAAGCCTGGTTAGAGTGGCCCGGCTCTCCCAGGCAGTGCGGCTGAGTGCGCTAGCCATGGCCCTTTAAGTTGCCAAGCTCTGATTTGTGGTCCTAAAAATCTCTAGCTGACACATCCTCCTGGCTCTGGGTTTGGGATTAGCTCATGGGATGGGGCTGATGAAATCCCAGGAAATCCACTCCTTATTGGCTTTAGGCCCAGAGGCCCTTTCCAAACAGCGCAGAGGGTCGTACACAGGCTCTTGTGTTTTGAGGCGAACAAGCCCTTCTGGAGAGCCCTCACCCCATATCTGTCATTGGGGAGCAGCGCAAGAGGAGACTGGGCCTGAGTTAGGTAGGAAAGCGGGGAGGAGCCTGGAGTTTTTCTCCCAGATAGAGGGGCCTGGCAACAGTAGGTCACAAACATCTGTCCACATCCAGGAGGTAGGGGTGGGCTGAGGGGTCTCCATCTCCAGGCCGTCCTCAGCCCTCCTTTCTCCCCTCCCGGCCAAGGCACCTGCCTTGGCCCCGTCTCTCTGGGAACCTTTTTTTTTTTTAAAGATTTTATTTATTTATTTGACAGAGAGAGAGGAGAACAGCGAAAGAGGGAACACACGCAGGGGGAGTGGGAGAGGGAGAAGCAGGCTTCCTGCCGAGCAGGGAGCCCGATGTGGGACTCGATCCCAGGACCCTGGGATCATGACCTGAGCCGAAGGCAGATGCTTAACGACTGAGCCACCCAGGCGCCTTCTCTGGGAACATTTTGTTTCTTTTTCCCAGCTCCGTCTCCACCTCCTTACCTCTTCTTTTTCCCTCCGCAGCTGTAGCCGACTGGAACGGGGCTCAGGAATCTGGGCAGGCTCCCCACTGCAGCGCACCCTCAGCTTCCTCCTGGGCATGACCGGAAAGGCCAAGGTAGGAGCCGTTGGGGAAGCAGGAGGCCTGGGCCCCCCCTGCCCTCCCTGATTCCGTTCCTCCTCACCCCCATCCGCTCCCCTCCACAGCTTCCCAGGGAGACAGACACTCAGGACAGTGGTTCACATGCTAGCTCTCCCAGACTTCCTCCCTGTGTCCCGGGGCGTCAGCTTTCCTCTGCTCTCCCCATACCTCCAGCTCAGCAGCCAGCTTCAGCTGCGGACAGCCGGACCAGGGGAAGGGCAGGAGCTTCAGAAGCCGAAGGGCGGCCCAGCCCTCCCTCCCCTTAGGCCCCCCGTAGCTGCAGAGACGGGCAGCAGAGATCTTAACCGTTGGATATAATCACGATCATAATTATAGCAATACTTTTTACTACTCTGGAGAGTATTAGGGTTTGCAAAGTGCTTTTACACTTATAATTGTATGGGTGGATGTGGCAGTTGAAGGAGTTGAAATTAGACCACAGGCAGAGGGGAAGCCTGGAAAGTGTACGGTTATGGAAGCACACGAACACCCATGTGTGTGGGGCTATGTAGGGTTCTGACCCCAGGAAAGTGAAGGTATTCTGCCCTCTCCCTTATTACCAACCCAGGGCTCTGTGAAACCGGGGTCTCTGCCCACTGCTTGAATGCATTGCCATTTTCTTCATTTACTGGCAGAATGAGCCACCCCCTTTTCCTCTCAAGGCCTCCCCAAGTATGCAAGTACTTTCCAACCTGGGGCGGCCTCTGAGCATTGAAAGAAGCCCCAGAGGAAACATCCTCCTATTTGGCTCCAAGAGCCATGGGCTTCTATCCCCAGGAAGGTTGCTGGGCTCCCCCCGGTCCCCTCCCCCCACAGGGCCAGGCTCGCCCCTCTGCCAGCCTCGGAGCCAGGACTCCTCTTTCTCTCGTGCACTGGGAAGGCAGAGATGAAACCCGGTTGTTAGCACCTGCTCACCACAGGCCACACTGGGGAGTTTGAGGCCTGGGACCACACAGTCTGAGAAGAGGAGGAGCAGCTAGAGAATCTTAAAGCTGGGGGTGGGGGAAGGGTGGGGGGGGTGGGCAGGAAAGAGCCGAGCTCTCTAGGGAACCAGGCAGCGAGGAGCCCTGGGGTCGGAGGCCAATGTCCCGGGAGCTGGCCCAGCTCGGTGAAGGGTGCTGCAGGAGCTGCCCTCCCTGCCTGCAGTGGGAATTGGCAGGGGAAGTGAGCACCGCCCAGGGGCCATCCCCATCCCCAGGGGTCTGCATCTGCCCACCCGTGGCCCAAGTTTGGTGAGGGGTAAAATCGCCGGGTGAAGGGGGATGTGGGCAGCATGGGGCCCGACAGGCAGCAGGAAAGAGCCAGAGTGAGTCAGGACCTTGCTGCACTGGCCCTTCCTCGCCTGGGCCTCTGGTCCAGTCCTCCCCCCACTCACGAGTGTGTGTGCCTGCCCCACTCAGCCCCCTCCGCCCCTCCTCCCCATGCAGGACTGCTCCTAAGCAGGTAAACACCAGGGGGGTGCGGCTGGACAGAAGTCCAGCAGTGAGAGAGGAAGTGGCTTATTCCTTGCTATTTGACTAGAGTCAGCACGCTGGACAAAACACTCCTCCAGAGGTCATCTCCTTTCATTCTTATAACACTCTGGCAAAGATAAGTGTTTCAATTTCCATTTTGCAGACAAGATAACTTAGCGGTCCCCCAGCTATTCAGAGGCGGGGCTGTGCTGCAGACCCAGAGAGTTGACATTCACACGCCTGTCAACAAACCTCACCTAGCCCGCTTTCCCCTCTCTTCCCTTCTTCCACCATCTTGGGAGGGATGGGCCCTGGAGTCAGTCATGCTTCAGTCTTTCCTGTCCTGGAATATACAAGGCCCAGAGCCGTGAAAAGAGCACACACTCGTGGGCACTGTAGCTCTTGGGCCTGGCTATCCCTGGGACTCTAACTGTCCATCTACTGCCAACACTCTGACACCAGGTTCCTGCCTGGGATGGCCTCTCCACCCAGGAGGTGCGCGGAACACATTTGTCAAGTTAAATGAGCTATTTTATTTTATTTTTAAATAAATAAAGGGGGACAGAAGGGGAGAGAGAAGGAGAGGGAGAGGGAATCTTGAGCAGACTCCGCCCTGAGCGTGGAGCCCAAAGCAAGACTCCAGGCAGGGCTTGATCCCATTGTGAGATCATGACCCCAGCCGAAACCAAGAGTCAGAGGCTCCACGGACTAAGCCACCCAGGCACCCCTTAAGATTTTATTTGTAAATAATCTCTACACCCAGTATGGGACTTGAACTCAGCCCAAGATCAAGAGACGCCTGCTCTGGTGGTGGCTACTTTTAGATTCTGGCAGAAATTAGGGTTGCCTTTTGTTTAGGGGTATCTAAAAAAATAATTTCTGAAAATCTGGGAAGTATCACTGGATAGGAGTGGGGTGGGGATGGAGGGATTGGGATGCAAGTGGTGTGCTTTTGCAGGTGTTCCCAGGGATACAGAAGATGAATATTAAGTCAGGCAGCAGGCCTAGCTCAGGAAAAGTCCAGGTGTTTCTCAAGGTGGACGGGTTTATGTACCCACCCCCAAACCCCTGCCTGGCCACTCATCTCCTAATGGGAAGAGGTGGACATGGGGCGAGGGGCAGGCTGGGAGATGGGGGCGGAGGCAGAAAAAGGCGGGAACCTTAGGTCTGCTTTTTTTCTGAGTCTGGGGCCTGAGAGCTCCCAGACCGTGGGATTCCGGTCCTGGCCTCACAGTCCGCCCACTGGGTGCCCAGACTGCAGTATGGCCTTTTAAGATTCCATCCTTAGCCTGTGGCACTCTCCCACCCCAGGCCTGGGAGAAAAGCTGAGGTCTGGGCCCATCCCTGGTCTCCGGCCCCTAGTGGGCGGAGCCGGGAGGCCGGGACTCTGGCTTCTGGTTGTCTGTTTTTAAATTTAGTACATTCCTCAGCCCTGCCTGCTGACTGCGGGGAGGCTAAGTCTGGGGTTCCGGGCCAGGATTACTGGCTGGGGGAGTTCCTAGGGCCTTCCCGTAAGGTCTCCCCTGCAGGTGCAAGCCTGGAGGAACCAGCCTCCCTCCTGGCCCTGGGAAAGTCCTTTTCTGTTTCTAATGTCCATCCAGCCTAGAATGGTCGGTCCCCTCTCCTTGTTTCTGGTCTTTGCTCCGCACGGATCCTAAACAGTGGAACGGGTGACGAAGAAGGTGATGGAGTTGTGAGGCAGGAGGGAGGCTAGAGGAGCAGTGTGGGGGTGATGCTGGGGGGTGAGGAGCCCAGCCAGCTCAGCCAGTGGTGAGGCATGGAGCCCAGAATAGTGGCAGAGGCTAAAATTGGCACCTACGGGAGTGCTGAGTTGGGCTGGGAACCTGCTGCTGCAGCCGGGGCGGGAGCCGCTGGCTCTGGGCTGGGCCTCCTCGCCCCCCTCCCCGCACACCTGCGGGGGCCGGAAGCGGGCAGGACCGCGCGCACGCAGGATGCTCTGTCCCAAGGCTCTCCAGAGAGATGGGAGAGCCTGAGAGGCAGAAATGAACTGTAATGTGAATGGTTCTAGTGTGGCGCGGGGGGGGGGGGGGGGGGGAGTTTCCGAGCATCAGGAAACGCAGCGAAGGTGGAGGCTGGCTCAGGCTGCGGCAAAGGGCCCCGAAAGAATGCCCCGCTCCACCCCGCCTCTTGGGGAGAGACTGGCCAGACCCCAACCGCCCCGCAGCGGGGCGGGCCGGTGTCTAGTCTCCTGGCTCCGGCGTGAGCGGCAACGGAGCGAAGCGGGGCTAGACACAAGGAAGGACTTCCCCGGCCTCACGGCCCGCGGGGAAGGGGGCGGGGCTCGGGGCGGGGCCGGGAGCGGCCGCGGAGCGGGGCGGGGCGGGGGGTGCTGGTGGGAGAGCTCTCGGGCGCGCACCCTCGCCTCCACGCCCGGTAAAGACCGGCCTTTCGCTTCCCCTGGTTTTCCCCGCCCTCCCCCCTGCCCTGCCCCCAGCGGCGAGCGGGGCCTGGCGGCGCGGGCAGCGCGGGCGGCGGGGCTCCCTGCAGAGCGCGCGGGGCGGGGGCCGCGGGGCTCCCGGGCCGAGGTCGGCGCGGGCAGGGCGCGCGGGGCCGGCGGGGCGGCGGCGGCGGCGGCGGCGGCGGCGGGCGGGCGGCGGCCAGCGCCCCGGGCCCGGCCCGGGGGCCCCCGCCCCCGGGCCCGCGGGCAGACTCGCGTTTGAGGAACTGCGCGGGGCCGCGCGCGCGAGCCACCTTCCTGTCCCGGGACCGCCCGCCGCCGCCGCCCCGACCATGTCTCGGATCGAGTCGCTCACACGCGCGCGGACCGAGCGGAGCCGGGAGCTGGCGAGCAAGGTGGGCTCGGGGCGGCCGGGCCGGGGTGGGGGGGGGAGTGCCGGGGGCGCACCGATCGCGCCGCGTCGCCCCCCCAGCCCCCGCCCGGCCCTGCCGCCCGGGAAGAAAGTTGCTCCGGGCAGGGGCCGGGCGGGAGGAGGGAGGCGCGCGTGTGGTCGGGTGGGCACCCCTCGGCCCGGGGCCCCGCGCCCCGCGCCCCGCGGTCGCCGGCGTGGTCGGCCCCCTTTGTCCCCGTCATCCGGCGCAGGGCCCGGCAGGGCCGGTTTCCCGGTTCCTCCCGCCTGCCCCGCCGCCGCGGCCCCCCCCTCCCCCTCCCGGAGACAAAAGTCAGCCCCTCCTCCCCCAGCAAATGGACTTTCCAGCTGTGATTCACTTCTCCCCTCGGGTGGGCGGGTGGCTGGGGTCGGGACGGCGGAGGGACCACGCACTTCCTCCCCGAGCGGTCACCCTCAGGCTCCGGGAGCAGAGGTCTTTGTGTCGCTGGGACACTTTCCTCCGCCCTTAGGGGCCCTGAGCACACCTGTTTCTGGAACAGGGGGTCTCAGGTCCCCGACCCTGTCTGGCCCGCCGGCTTCTGAGCACCCTGTTCTCCCGGCGTGAAACCTTAGGCTGACCCGCCCGCCGGCACTTTGCCTCTGACCCTCCTCCTCTTCCCCGCTCTCATCGCTTGTCTTGGGACCCATTCACCTACCATTTCCAGAGCCTGGG